GGGCATAAAAATTTCTCCAATTAATATGAGCACAGATCTTTTATTGGATTAAAAGATATTAATAGTATAACTGATTTGTATTTTTCTCCTTTTCCCTACTGTCCCTTTCATCTATCCTAGTTCCCTTTTCCTTTTGAACAATTTCTTCCCTTTATAATTTTTCAATTTTTACTAAAATACATTCATGTATCACTATTATAATTTAAAACAGAATTTTTAAAATAACTTAAAAAGTCTTTCTAGATTGAAATGGAGATTTTTAGAAATTGCAATAACCTTCTTTCCACTGTCCTTAGAGAATAGTTACTTCATTTACCAGACCAACCTTGTATTCTACTCAAAACCTAGTGTCTTGCCCATATGGCAGGGGGTACTCAACCAATGTCTGCGCAACTGACTTGCACCTGGCAACGGGGAAACTATTACAAACACATAATCACTAACAAAACCTATACTCTAGATAGATTAAATCGTGATCTAATTTTGAGTGAGGCAATTATTAAGTGTTAATGATGTGGTCAAAAATTACAAAGGCATACATAAAATTTTGGAAGATAGCCAAATATTACACACTGCTGATGGTGTAGAGGTTTAAATAGAACTAAAACCAGAATCAAATACTCCTGGATCCCTAATTGGAAAAAAATACAAAATTTAAGAATGTAAAAAAGAGAAATATAGGAGAAAAATAATCTGTATTGATTTTGTGTCATGTACTGCATTGGACAGCTATGGAGATTAAAACTTACTTTATGACTCAGGTTTTAGCTTGGACACATAAGCATTGCAGTCATCATTTTCACTCTGGAAGCTAGAAAAACCAAAAGGTAACTATTTTACTTGAATCTATCCAAGAACAGAGGTGAGGACAAACCACTATCCTGTTATCTGGAGAAATTGGAAACTGAAGGGAGACACGGGTTTGAGCATATAAACCGGTTGGAAGATAAAGCTAGATATTCTGACAAATTACTAGAGGACAAACAGTGAAGTTCCTTGGGTCCATATACGGAAATTTTCACCTGGTCCTCTTAGAAGCTTTTCCTATAGCAATCCTGACTCTGAGTGAGGACCATACAAAGCCTCAGCAAAATCTCCCCATGATGGTGGTGGCTTTCTGAGGAAAACAACAATCACTGTGAAACTCAGACTAGACCCCCTTTCTTTTATAGTCAGTACAGAGAACAAAAGGCATAATCTTTAGGAGAAAGGACTTAAAAGCCATGGATTGAGAACACTGGTGGATACCCATACAGCTGGAGAAAGAAATGGCAGAGGGTATTAACCCACAGAGGAGCCATCTGGGACACACTCAGCATCTGCTGAATCTGAGGCTTAATCAGATCACCATAAAGCTCCCTCTTTCCCCACCAACCACCACCTAGAAAACCAGTTATATGGTTAACAACAGTCAAATACAACTGGGAGAGCTGTAAAAGACAACTCTTGTGATGCAACACAAAGGAAAATACCTAAAACCAAGCAAAAGTCAAAATGAAGTCAATCACTAGAGGAACAGGCAATCTCTTATGTTCACAGCAAAACCAAACAACACGTACAGGCTAACCCCTGACTAGATTAACACAAATATCCACACTAAATGCCTAGCAAAAAGGAGCTTATGTTCTTCTCCAAACATATCAAGCATTTTTCTCAGTATCTCTAGTCCATGTTTATCTGTCAGCAGGCTTATTATGAGTCACAACAAAATGCAAGAAAATACTCCAAGGGACAATCATCAGATCCAAACCCAGTAAAACACAAACACTAGAACTATCATAAATGAAATAAGAACTGTGATTCATACATTAAAGACTGCAGTGGAGAAGCAGGTAATATGAAAAAGCAGACAGACAACTTCAGCAAAGAAATGGAACCTGTAAGAAATAATCAAATGGAAATACTAGAAATAAAGAAACGCAGTAAAAATATAAACAAATAAACAAAAAACCCATAATGGGGTTGACAGTACACTCAGTGTGGGCAAGAAAGAAATCAGTGAGCTCAAAAATCATACTTTTTGAACTAATCAATCAAAATTAAAACGAAGAGATTAAAGAGGAAAAAAAATCATATGGTATTTAAGAACTATGAGGCAACAGCCAACAGTATTAAACTTCTAACTGGAATCTTAGAAAAAGGGAAAAGAATGGGACAGAAGAGTTATTTGAGAAAATGGCTGAGAACTTTGAAAAATTAAGTAACAGACAACCACTAATAGATATAAGAACTTCAGAGAATATCAAGCAGGATAAATATTAAAAAGTATTTATTTATTTATTTATTTATTTGATACAGGGTCTCACAGTTCAGACTCATAATGATCCTCCTATCTTAGCCTCCCCAGCGCTGGGATGACAGGTGTGCACCATCATGCCTGGTTCTGGGGCCGGCACAGCAAGTGGTACCAGGGATCCAACTTGAGTCCTTGGGCTTGCCAGGCAGGTGCTTAGATTGCTGAACTATCTCCCCAGCCCAGAAAAAAATTTTAAAGCCACACCTAGCTTATACCACTCAAACTGCTGAAAAATCAAAGAGAAAAAGAAAATCCTGAAGGCAGCCAGAGAAGAGAAAAAGATAGATTAGCTATAAAGAAAGCTACACTGGGGCTGGTGAGATGGCTCAGTGGTCTAAAGCACCTACTTAGAACAAGCTTAGCAAAGCACAGGGACCACGGTTCAATCCCCCAGCACCACATGCCAGCCAGCCCCGCCCCCTGGTGGGCTGAGCTGGCCACACACACACACACACACAAATAAATAATAAAATAAAACCTTTAAAAAATAATTTAAAAAAAAGAAAGTTACACTATACACTGTATTATCAGAAACAATTACAAAATGCCCTTTAAAATTGGAGGAATATGAAACCTTTCTCAAGTAAGTAAAAACAGTATTTACTGGCATCAGACTTGCCCTAAAAGAAATGTTAAAGGAAACTAGAAATAAAAAATAAAGAGTACTAAAAAATAAAGGCAGAATATAATCTTTTATTTTAAAAAATGCTTGAAAAGCCAACTTCCCATACATTAGCCATAGGCCAATCTTGCAAGCAGGTCTTCTAAAAATAGCATCTTCAAGACTGCTAGATTAACTGCTTGCTGCATGATAGGGTATATAACAAACAAACCAACAAACAAATCCCAAACCCTATAGTTAACATTATACTTAATGACGAGAGATGGAATGTTTCCCACAATCAGACTAGTTAAGTGCTCCACTCTCATTGCTATAATTCTGAGGGAAAAAACCCAGGATACTCTTATTACCTGATTTCAGGATTTATTATAAAGTCATAGTAATCAAGTTAGTGTGGGTTAGGCCTGGGAGTGTAGCTCAGTTGTACAACACTTGCTTAGGATACACAAGGCCCTGTGTTCCATCCCCAGCACTAAAACTAAAAAACAAAAAAAAGGAAGAAAGGGATGTAAATGGAAAAATGACAAGCTCTCAGATTAAGAATTAGATGTACAAGCCCAGAATTAGATGTACAGGTGCAAAAGCAATTCCTAGGAAAAGGATATTCTTTTCAACAAATGGTGGTGGGACAACTGAACATTCATACAGGAAAATGAACCTCAACACATATATCAAATTCAGGGCTGGTGAGAATGCAAAATAATGGAGTCACTCTGTAAGACAATTTTGCAATTTCTGCTACAAAAAGACCCAACAACCCTAATTCTAGGTATTATGCAAATGAAATGAAAACATACGTCTACACAGAGAGCTATATGCTAATGTTTACAACTTTATTCATTTGTTTATTTTTTAATTTATTTTTGGCGGTACCAGGGATTGAACTCAAGACCCAGTGTTTGCCAGGCAGGCTCTTACGCCACTGAGCTACAACCCCGTCCCTAAAACTTTATTCATAATTGTCCAAAAAAACCTGGGAACAACCAAGGTGTCTTTCAACAGGTGAATGAACAAAGTATACCATGTAATGGAATGTCAGTTATAAAGGCCAAACTATTAGTTCATATAATACAGATGAATCAAGGAAATCACACTAAAAAACCCCTACAAACTCTGATTCCACACATAAGGCATTCTTGGAAAGGCAAGATTATGGTTAAAAAAATTCAGAGTTTAGTGGCAGAACATACTTAGCACAAGGCAGGCTCAATCCCTAGCACCACCAAAAACAGAAATTAGAAGTGTACCACCATAAGGCATTTCTAAGCAAAAAAACTGATTGGCTATTTTCCTGAATGGAATAACTTAGACAAAATTAACTGGGGAAGGAGCCCATGAAGGTTCACATCACTACCACCATATATCTTCTCTTTTAAATAAACATTTATTTTTTAAAATAGAGAAATACATTCATATAACTTAAAATTCAAATGGTACACATAATCATTTATACAATTAAAAGTCTCCCTTCTATCCTCTATCCCCAGGCATGTAAGCCCCCAAACTACCAGTGTCTTGAATATCTTTCTGCAAATATTTTTGACTATGTAAACCATACATATATTATTGGCCTCATTCACTATTTTTCATAAATAGTAGCACACAATACACATTAGTCTATTTCATGCTTTTTGGCCCCTCTGTGCATGCTAGAGATCACATATTATTAAGGTAACATTTCATTGTCTACCAAGTCTAGATTGACACTTAAGATACTATTAATCTTCTGCTATTGTAAATGATACCTAATTAACATGCAGGTTATTTACTGAATAAATTCCTGGAAGTGTTTGATGAGTCAAATTATATGTGTTCATAATTCTGATAGCTCTTTCCAAGTCACTGACTTTTAAAAGGTCAGGAATTTTTTATTTTTAACTTTTATTCTAGGAGTAGAGAAGAAAACCTGAGATATCATCACCAAGTAATTTCCTGGAGGATTATATACCTCAAAGATGTATAAAATAAGTCTTACACTGAGTTTCTCACCTGTGCTTTATAGGGTTCAATTACATTTTTATGTAATACATTTCAATTCTTAAGCTGTTGTAAAGTCTATGTTAGTTATGTGAAGAATGTTACCTCTGATATCTTCCTGAGCAAAGGTCAAAAGCTGGTGCTCCAAATTGGTGGCTCCTGGTCACTCACTTCATAGTACAATGCTGGATTCTTCGCTGCAACCACAAGTAGACTTTTAAATCTCAGTGAAACAAAACATCTACAGAGACTCTTATGAGCTTTTTGTAATACCCAAATAATTTTTTCCTCAGATAAAAATTATAAAACACATAAAGGTTCCAAGAGGGGGTTGCAAACCTTTGATCTTGCAGGTGATAGTAGATCCCCAAGTAAGTCTTTTTGCTTAACTACAAAACTTAACATACAGTCTAGTACACTAGGGTTTTCTAACGTCTGAAGAAAGAATGAGGAAACCCAGGGGCTTCTTTGATAATAGCTACACAAGATCAGTGAGCTGTTGAACTTCTTGAGAATACCTACTACACTGTCTCCAAACTACACTGTTTCCCTTTGGTTTCTTCCTAAAAAGCACTGTTTACCTCCAATACAAAAGAAGATACTATTCGTGGTATATTAATTTAATATCACTTAATCACAAGAATATATTCCATTCAGCAACGAGTGCTTAATGTTAACAATTTATTAAAAAAGCTAATATTCATTACTAATTATTATGTAGTACTGCAATAATGTCCCCCAATTTTTTTGCATCTCCTTGCATCCACATCATTAAATGGTCCACTCCCACAATGAGTTCTGGCTAGATCATGGAAGTACTTGTGTGGTTTAGCTGATGGAACAATATCAAATGTGCAAGTGCAAAAGAAGATACTTGAAGGGACGGCCTGATAGCTCAGCAGACTAAAGCGCCTGTTTGGGCAGAGTGCAGCGGCAGGGGTTTGATCCCCAGCTTGCCATGCCGGCCCCACCCCCGGGGCGCACTGAGATGGGCAAGACTGGGCGTGGTGGTACGTGCCTGTAATCCCAGCATTTGGGAAGATGAAAACAGAATCACTATGAGTCCAATCCACACAGGGACACCCTGCAGACCCTGTCCTAAATACAGGAAAAGAAAAAGACACCTGAAAAGTTCTTGTACACTGGTGCTTTTGCTCACTTGCTACTCTCCTTGAGACTTCGTGAACACCATGTTAACAAGTCAGCTGAAGGAGAAATCATGTGGAGTGGAGACAAGCCAACTAAGTTTAGGGCTTCCTACCTAGACCAAACAGCCTGCCAACTACTAGATATATAAATTAGCCCATCCTAGATCATACATATATCAACTAACCAAAAAGCTAATTAACACAATCTACTTAAAAGTAAATGTTTGTGGCCCTGTGCATATGGCAAGAGGAAAAGAATACTGATTTTCCTTCTGTGAAGTTTACTCCATACATAACTTTTTTTATGTGCAGATTTTCAAACATGAAAACCTCTAGTACCTGAATAAAAATAAGTATTGAAAAGTTCTTATCTTTCCAGATTCTCACAAATGTGCTGTCTGCTAACACAGACGGTGTGCAGGTGTATGCATGCACACATACACACAACAAAAAAGATAAATTTCCATTTAATCACTGAAGTATCTTTATCATATATTTAAACAAGACATATTCGACAGTTCTGTTTCTAGCACTGAAGAACAACCTATGTTTCCAGGGATTGCTTTTTCTCCCAATTCCAATTCTTTTTTACTCCTTTGCAAGATCTTAATGAAAGCTAAAAGAGCTCCTTTAACTCAGTGTGAAAATTATCAGGCAAATATGAACCCTTTAAACCTCCTTCTAGCAGCATTCTGAAGAATTGGCTTCTTCTGGTATCCAACAACTAGTTTTAGCTATGTCCATGACAGTAAAAACTGCTTAAAACCTACACATTCGAGCCAAAGGCACTGCCTGTATTGGATCACAAGATGGGACACTGAAATAAAAAGATGAAACATTGAATAACTTTCTTAAATCATTTTTGTTTAGACTTTATTAGAAGCTTTTCAGAGTTAAACACGCAGGCACTTACACACATGCACACTCATACACACACACACACACACACACACACAAACACCTACTACGTGCTTCAAGAAAGTAAAAAACATCTTTTAGCAACCTCCTATTGTCCTTGGAATAGATCACAAACTGCTTAATGAGGTCCCATAAGGCCCTGTCAATCATCTTCTGTCTACCTCATCTCTCTTTCCCCAGATCCTAGCCAAACCTCTGTGGATCCTTTTCATGCTCTCTTCCACTTCTGTGTCCTAACACCTGCTGTTCCCTCTGCCTGGTAATCTATTTTTCTTTACTTTTTAGCTTGCTTATTTCTGCTCATTCTTGAAGCTCCAAGGGCACTTTGCTGATATCTCTCACAAGAGGAATTCTACCTCTTTTCTGCTATGTGACCCTGGGCAAGTTATCTTTGCTTCACCTTTCTAAACCTCACACTTCACTTATACAATTATTTGCTGAAAAACAGAAATACTCCTTTGAATCCCACCTTGATACCTAATACTTCTGCTATTTCCCCATATACTGCAGTTTCCTAAGAAGTGGATGAAATTAATGCTTATAGAGCAACTATTACCTCATCTAATTCTCAGTACCATCCCAAGAAATGTGATTTGACAGAAGAAACTGAAACACAGAGAACTTAATAAACTTGACAAGATCAAGGGTTGCAGACAAAATGTGAATCCAAATTGGCCTGGTGCCACAACCTGTGAAGGATGTAAGACACAAAAGACTTTCTTAACTTGTGAATCTTGTTGGTTAAGACCAGCATGCCTCAGAAAAGATGGATTTTTTTCCATTTATGTCCATCAAAATGACTCTCAGATATCTATACTTCAGATCTTTAAATAGCCTGGTGCTATTCCTATCACCCTGGTAAACCCTTTTATTTTTAATTTTAATTTTAATTTTTTTCTTCCCAAAATTTTATTGGGGAAAAACTACAAAACATTTACAGTACAATGTTTACAGTCACAATTTGTAGTGAACTGATTCCTCAAATATATTACAACTCAAGTTGACTTATCTTGTTACATTCAAAACCTACTTCTGTCAAAGTAGTCCAGAGTACATACATAGTGCCCCAACTGTACCTACAAACTAAGCTACTGCTCATTCATCTGCTGTCCAGGAAAGCTAGAGACCTTCCTGCCTTTCTACTTGGAAAAAAAATAGTGTAAGTTTTAGCATATTCGTGTACTCTTCAGCACTAAGAGGTGGTCTCTTCACTTTATTGCTATAAAAAAGTGGTAAAAAATATTTTCCTTTTGTGCAGTTGAACCCATCCTACATTCAAATTCTCTCAAGCACTAATAAAATACTTATTTGGCTGAGGAAGATAAAGGCAAGTTTGGGCCCTTCTCAAAGCACTGTGAGACTGTCCCCCTAGTATTTACTGCTACATGTCTTTATACTCAAGAGTATGTCATAGTAGTCCTGGTGGAATCAGCAAACAAAACTTTTTTTGCCAGTTTATAAGGTTGGCATTGGCAAAACATGCCACATGTAAGTCTGATTGCAATATGGTCTTTTTGTCCCCTAAAGGTGGATGGGCTACAACCATTATATATTCTAAGAAAACTCAGATATCTGTCAAACTATTTCCACAGCATCAAGATAGATTTCTGTAAAGAAATCATGAAATCTTTTGCAATTTACATAAATAAGGAAAGAAATTAATGAAATAAATATTACATACAATCTCTTAAATTAAGATTTTTACTCATTTACAATAAAATAACCAAGTGAAGTTGCAAAAGGCATACATTACTGTGAAAAGAACATACACTCCACATTTTGCCGATTAATAATGGCAATCATAATTTAACATAAAAGAATATATATCTACTGCTTTTCATCATACTCGATGAATACAGTATGAACAAAAATTTCAAATGTATACTTTTCACAAGATAATAAATAAGTTAAATAGTTTTCTCATATTGAGTTGTGGTGCAGTGGTGCGAATCAACTCAAAAGCTGCTAAAATTTCTGCAGTTATTTCCCAACAATTACAAATTAAACTCTGCCTAAGGCTTCCATAGAGCACACAAAATGGTTTTAAACTAAACATCCACTAAGTGGTAGTAATGGAACCAGTAACCAGTACAAGACTTTGGAATGAATGGGTTTTCCCCAGTCATACAGGACTCGGTTAAAAAACCCAAATAGATCTAAGAGTGGAGAGTGACTGCTATCAAGGCATATTCTTGGCAAAATACTTCACCCTGGCAAACCCTTTTAGCAGAACATTCTTCCCACTAACTGTGAGATGATTCTTCACTTTCTTTCCACGCTCATTTACTATTTATTTGTACTGGGGATTGACCCTATGGGCACTGTACTACTACTGAGCCACACCTCCACCCTTTTTATTTTTAGGCTCTAAATTGCCCAGGCTAGGGCTAGAGATATAGCTCAATGGCATAAGCCCCTGCTTGGCAAGTGCAAGGTCCTGAGTTCAATTCCCAGTACCACACAAATATATAAATTTTAAAAATTGCACAGACTAGCCCTGAATTTGTGATCCTGCTGTCAGAGTCTCCTTCTGGGATTACAGGCACAAGCCACCACAACTCGATTCTTTCATCTCTTATACTCCCATCGAACAGAAGGTACTAAATACATATTTGCCAAATGATTTAAATAATATTGGAGAATATATTATGGCCTCAAAGTTGGGCAGTGAGTTTTCATACAAGTATTAAAATTTAGCATAGTTACAACAAATTCAACAAGAATGGTAGAAAATATGAGGGTATCCTTAAGCACTTGTACAACTGATAATGATTTCTATATCTAGCACTAAAGAATTCCATTCCACATGATTTACAAATTTGTGCTTTGTAGCTGTTGGTAGCCTTTATTTCTGGGGCCCTGCCTCAACACCAATGTTCTGCTATATCTAATGGCTGCATCTGAGACAATTCTGATGGGATGGCCTCGACAAACACCAATCTCTCAATGTTATTCTCAAATGATTTGGGAAAAGAAACAGAAAGAACAAATGATAAAGCAAACGAAAGCAAACTGCTGATAATTGGTGACCCTGGGTAAAGGGAATACAGTGAGTTTTTTATACTAATCTTGCAACATTTTTATAATCATTTTTATCAAAATTAAAGTTTTTAAAATATAACAAAAGCATAATACTAATAAGTTTCCCAGCAGATTTCTATTGGGCAAAACTCCAGTACCATTTCCCTACACTAGTCCCCTTACTTGCTTCAGGGTATACCAGGACCCCCTAAGATATTCCCCGGTCTGCTAGCCTACCTTCATGCTTAGTTAGACAGCCCTGAGTTTTTACCTTCCTTTTTCCAAGCTTAGTTATAGGATCAAGTAGGTTTTTACCAAGATCTTTCTTCCTTGTTCTCTTCCAACAGAGGCACAGAGGCAGGTCTAATAGTTGAAGAACATCAATGCTACTATCTATGGAAAGACACACAGGGAAGAGTCAAAACTAACATGGGAGAGTCACAAAGATTCCACAAAACAGAAAGCAGTAGTTACTTGTTCTGTAATGATTACTTGCTAGTACACTCTTATTAATTACTTCTAACCACTTATCCAAGATACTTTCCACCCCACAAACCCGAATGGTTCAGCTTTCCCAGTCACTGTAACTGGAATAACAAACTTTCAAGCTACTCAACTATCTCTATTTCAGGAGAGTACTAAAGCTGGATGTAGCTCAAGCAGTAGAATGCCTGCCTAGCATATAGACAAAATCCTGTGTTCAATCCCCAACACCACACACACTTGTTAGGACAATGGCAGATGAGTATCAGTGAATATGCTCTGCTTATGAATAAAGTGAAGCAAGCAAAGGGCCTATATAAATTATTTTCTGTGCTAATTTCTTAATGTGAACTAGCACATAACAGCTATCTTCCTCAGCCTCTATTCTGTATAAGCTACTTGAGGAAGTAAGTACACTACGTTCCACGGAAATATTCAACCTCAATTTTAGCCTGGCTTTCTGTGCCCCCACCTGATCAAGGTTTCTAAGGAACCTCTGTAGTGTCATGTCTTCACAAACACCTGATGCTTAATGCTTCCTGCTCCTCCTAACTTCCAAAATATTTGTTTAGTTCCCGCCAGAGCTCAAAGTAAAAAAGAGATGTTTTTTTGTAGTTTAGAGGAGAAATGGATAGTTACAGTTGGTGGAACACAAGAAATATTAAATGAATACTTAAATAAGTATTTAATATTTATCTTAATAATTAAAAATTATCAGAGAGCATACTAAACATACAAACCTTCAACATTCTTTGTTTTTTAATTTTTACCAATTCACACATTGCAGCTATGCTAAATGCCCAGCACTATCACTTTCTCCAGCCCTAGGAACCTCCTCTACTAGCCAGAAGGGTGGGTCAAAAGTGCCCTGAGGGAGACTCCTGGCTCCCAGCAGATCAGAAACAAACACTTCAAAGAGTGGGAAGCCTTTCTTCACTTTTGCCATACTTGCAACCAAGATTCACACCACACTGAAAATCTAGCAATGTGGCCTAAAGAAGGTGGGAGACGATTATGAATTCTAGAATCAGAATACTGAGTATTAGAGAACCAGAACATGCAAAGAACTAAAATGTTTCAAGAAAACAGTACTGGGCTGAGCCCTTCTCTAGCAAACAAAAGTATAGAGAAGAGTGGAACTGGGGGAGAAAAGGTAGTAAGATGGTAGCTAACATTATTGAAAGCTTAATATACACTAGGCAAAGCCAGGTGGTGGCATACCACTGTAATTCCAGTGCTGTGGAGGCTGAAAACAGGAGGATCACTGAGTCCAAGCTGCATAGTGACACCCTGTACCAAATACATACACTAGACAGTGAAAAACACTTTCCAAAGTTCTCAAGTAATCTTTGAAGAAAGAGTATTATCCTTTTGGAGTTGAAGTATTTGGAGTTCACTTTAAATGAAAGAAAAGGGGCTGGGGAGATAGCTGGCAGTCTAAGTGGCTACTTGGCACACGCAAGGACCTGGGTTCAATTCATAATATTGCATGCCGTGCCAGCCACTTAAGCTGGGCGCGGTGGCACAGGCCTGTAATCCCAGTGCTGGGGAGGCTGAGACAGGAGGACACTACGAGTCCGAGCTCCATAGTGAGACCCTGTACCAAATAAAGATTTAAAAAGAATTTTAAACAAGAAAGAAAAAATGATATGAGGTAAAATACTAAACACAAAAGAGAAAATCGTTTCACTTATCTATTAAACTCATGATGGTATAAAAGCAGAACTACACTACTGAAGGGATATGAAGGGTGAGATCCACATTTCTATTATCTACAGATGTTATAAAAATATTAAACTAAATAAAAATACAGTGGGGGTTTTTTCCAGGCCCACTCTTCTCTATTCCCCACCTACATAACTCCAAATCCCAGGCTGACAAGATGTGATCAAAGGAAGGTATTTTAAAGAGACCTACTCTAGGAAAATAGATTCTAGTTTTGCTTAATCTAAGTAACAACGTTGTGCAACCAGTTTTTACCTAAATTTTGTTTCATTCCTTTCTGAGATTAGAGAACAGCAGTTATCTTTACTAGACTGAATACAAGGAATGAGGTCGCCTTTCCCTCCAGGCCATTCGAAGCACTGTCAACACAGTTTTGATTTTTTATACAATCAGACCTTGGAGGGGGTGGGGACCAGGATTTGGTCCTCAGCTTCGCAGATAAAGGCATCCCAGGCGAGCCCTCGTGCACATACATCGAAGGCTGTGGATTTCCTTGCAAGTCAGAAGCCAAAGGAGTGGCCAAATTTCTCACCAAAAGCCTAGGAGCTACATACGTACCAAGGCTGCACAGCGATATAACCTTTCAAGCATGCCTCCACAGACCACATTAAGGTAACTCACTCAAGATCCTGGCCCCCCATTTCTCCTCACAAACAATACATGCAGGCTGCCCTGTATACAATTTAAAGCCACACCTGGCCGAAGCAATGGTTCTGCAATGAAAAGTGGGAGAAAACGACTATAAGTTTAGAAAAATATATACCTATTGGACCCCACAGAACTGGAAACCAGAAGAACTGGAGAGCTAGTGAAAAGAAAAGTTAACTCTGCCTTGCCTGGCGGTGGGAAAATTTCCCCACAACTTGCAAAGCTGTCGAGACCGATTTTCCCACCCTGTGGACTGCCCAGCGCTCAACGGCTTCGGGCTCTCTGCGTTCCAACAATGACTGGAAGAGAAGGGAAAGTTCGCCGGCCAGTAGGGCGCCCGCGATCCCGCCCGGCTGGCACCTTGGCTCCCCGGGGCGTCTCGCCGCTTCCCGCAACTCCGGACCCCTCTCTCTCAGCACTCGGTTCTTCCCGCCCTGCAACGCAGAACAGCCAGGGCGCACCCTGGCGCCCTGCAGCATCCAGCCCAGAAGGCCGACAGAGCAAGCCCTCCCGCCACAGGTCAGGCCCCACGGGCCCCGACGCCACCCTGAGGACAGGGACCAAGGGAGCGCCGAGAGGGGGCACCGGAGGGAACGCCGCAACAGTTATGGCGCTCAATTCCTTCCCCGAACAGCCTGAGCTGCAGCCCAGCTCGTGCGTCTGCCCCCACCCCCATCTCGAGCCGCCGGGCACTGCCTAAGCCGGTAGAAGGGCCATCAGGCACTTTACCTCAGCCCACACACGATCTGGTCAGAAGGTTCTGGAGATGCCAGAGGCGACCGCTATGTGGAGCCGGAGCGATCTGGAAAACGGCGAGGCCGGATCGGGACACCGCGCTCCGCGCCTCCCGCTTCCCACTCCCCGAAGCCGCCACTCCCGCTGCCCAACGCGCGCGACGCCCCCAACCTCGCTCGCGTTGCGTCTGGCCTCTGGCTCCTACCTTCGCGCAGCGAGATCCCGACTCCCTCCCCGCTCCACACAGGGGCCCAGACAACGTGCCGGCAAGTCCCGCTGGGGTGGTAACCGCCCCCCTCACCACCGGCTTTCTCTTCGTTCTCGCTCGCACCTGCCCCCAAATCTCCTCTTCTCCCCCGCCCTCTCCGCCCCGCCGCAGGATTCGCTCGGGCCGCCCCCCGCCCCCACTCGCGCGCCTCACCTCGCGCCCTCGGCCCTCGCTCGTACGGCCCGTCAGGCCTCAGCCCCGGGCAGGCAGCTGGGCGGCGGCGGCCGCTGAAGCAGCGGTAGCGGAGGCGGCTGAGGCGGCGCGGAGCACTATTGTATTCCTGACACTGTGCGCTCCCACGCTCCGCCTCTTCCCTTTCCTTCCTCCCCCACCGCTCCCTCCTTCCCCAGTCAGCCGCGCTCGCCTTACCCGACTGGCTCCCCGCCGTCTGCCCGCCGCGCGCTCTTCTGGCGGGCTGGGCGCAGGCTCTAATAGCCACGGGCTCTGAAGCTCCGCCCACTGAGCTCCCGCACCCGTGGCGCTTGTGCTCCAGGTGGGTTCCGCCCCTCCTCCCCGCGCGCTGCCTCTCCAGGAGCCGCAGCTCCGCTAGGCGTCCCACTCGGCGAGGTGAGACGCTTCAGCGGTCGAAGTACAGCTAAGCCTTTCATGACCGTTTTTCAATTCTAAAGTTCTGTGAGTGGGACTTGTACATGAACGCGGCGAACACTAGTGATTTACATCGTTTGTGTTTGAAATACCTTTGATAATAAATCCAAGGTGGCTCTTGGTAAAACTTTTATCCAGTTGCAAGCGCAAACGGTTTATGATATTTGTGCGGCTTTTTAACTGACGACTTGGTTAGCCAACATCTACCAGTTATTCAATCAAATACATCATAATAAGTGTTGCTGTGGAGTGATTTTGGTGACATAATTAAAACTCCTAATCAGTCGGTTTGAAGTAAAGGAGATTATCCAGGGTGATCTGAGTGAGAATAACTGAATCAATTGGAAAACTTTTAAGGCTGAGCCGAGGTTTCTGAGACAGCAGCGGGCACGCGCGCGCGCGCGCGCGCGTGTGTGTGTGCGCGCGCACGTGTGTGTGTGTCAGAAAGCGAGCGAGAAAGAGAGAGAGAGACTGATTCATGATAGTTTTGGCCTATGCTTTTTGGTTCTAGCCTCCTGATTTTTCTCTTCCTCCAGATTTTGCAGTTTTGAATGAATGAATGAATTAATGAATGTACTATTTGTTCTGGTATTTCGGTTGAATTCTGATTGATATAGAGGCTTCCCAACAAACGCTTTTCTCTTTGGGTATGGAAATGTGCTTTATACAGTTATGATGATTAACTCATATAGTCATTTTCATTTACATTTCTGTGATAAACAGCAAAAAACAGGCTTTTTGTTCATTGGCTATTTCTCATCTTAAAGATGTAGTTCTATTTCATAATAAACAATATGAATTCTATAATATTCCTACTCCTTCACATTTCTGTTACTAAATTATGTTTAATTTACTCTGAAATAATTACAGATTCACAGAGAATTATAAAAATTATTACAGAAGAGTCCAGTGTAAGGGAACCCAGTTTCACTCAAAGGTAATATCTTGCATAACTACAGTACAATATCAAAACTAAGATATTAACATTGATACTCTCCATATAGCTTATTCAGATTTCATCAATTTTACAAGCTGTATTTTCTGAATCTGTGGCTATCATTCTGTATAGTTCCACCATAGTCAAGTGTTCCTCCATCACAAAGATTCCCCTGCTACCTTTTAGAGTCACAGTCACCTTCTTCCTGTACTCTAATTCCTGGCAGCTGCTAACATGGTCATCATCTATAATTTTGTCATTTCAAGGATATCACATAAGCCAGGTAGCCCACACCTGTAATAGCAGCACTCTGGAGGCTCAGACAGAAGGATGGCTGCAAATTTGAAGCCAGCCTGAACTACAGAGTGAGAGCCTGTCTTGAAAAAAAAAAAAAAAACAAACCAAAAAATATCACACAAATGGAATCATACTTTTGAAATACGCTATTTTCATGTAGCACAATTTCCTTGAAATTCACCCTAATTGTATGCATTGATAGTTAATTCCTTTTTATTGCTGAGTGGTATTCTGTGATATGCACATACCACAATTTAACTATTCACCTATGGAAGGATATTTGGCTTATTTCCAATTTTTGCTTATTAAGGATAAACTAATATGAAAATTCATGTGGAAGTTTTTGTGTAAATGTAAGTTTTCATTCTCCTCTGAAAAATGCTCAAGAGTACAATTGCTCTTACCTGCATAAATGTTATCTCAGTTGGATAAGTATATAGTGTTATAAGAAACTGTCACCTTTCCCATACTGTCTTTACAATTTTGTATTCTCACCAACAAAATATAAGAGATCAGTTTCTTCATATATTTGTCAGCCATTGGTATTGGCACTATAGCTTTTTACCATTCTGATGGATGTATGGTGATATCTCATTTTAAATTGCTTTTCCTTAATGGTTAAATGATAGCAAACATCTTTGCTGTCTGTATAGCCTCTTTGGTTAAATGCCTGTTAATGTCTTTTGTCAATTTCCCAATTGGACTGTTTCTTACTTTCTTGTTTCTTGGTATGTTTGTTTGTTTTGAGACAGTGTCTTTGTGGTCCAGGGTAGCTCAGGGTGGTCTGAATTTAAGATCCTCCTGCCTAAGCTTACAGGTATCTGCCACTATACCTGGCTTCTTATTGTTAAATTTTGAGGATTCTCTGTATGTTCGTATTACAAATCCTGTCAGAAATGTGACCTGAAAATGTTTTTTCCATCTGCAGCTGGTCTTTTTATTTCCATAACAAGATATTTTACAGACTTAAAAATTTTGGCCGGGGAGATAGCTCAGTAGAATAAGCGCCTGCCTGGCAAGTGCAAGGCCCTTAGTTCAATCCCCAGTACTGCAAAAAAAGAAAAAAGCAAGAAAAAATTAATTTTGAAGGCATCAAACTTATCAAAATTTGCATTTATGTACTGTACTTTGGTGTCATGTCTAAGAAATACTCCACTAGCCCTGTGTGCTGGATTCTCTGTGTGTGTCTTTGTCTCTCTGTCCCTGTCTCTGTCTGTCTCTATTTCTTTTTTTATCTCTCTATTTCTTTCTTTCTCTTTCTTATAAATTTATGCAGTACTAAACACTAGGGATTGAACCCAGGACCTTTACACTGAGTTATATCCTCAGCCCATTTTTTTTTTTGAGATACAGTCCTACTAAACTGCTAAATTCCCAGGTTAAGCTTGAATTTGAGATTCTCCTGCTTCAGCCCCTTGTAGCCTTGGAATTACAGCCATGAGCCACCAGGCCCCACTTGAACACATTTTCTCACTTCCTTTTGTTTGTATTTTACATTTAAGCCCATGATTTAGTTTGAATTAAATTTTGTATAACATATGAACCTAAGATGGAGGTTCATATTCTTGCCATTGATTGCTTAAATAAAATGAATTTTTTTCCATTGAATTGCTTGTGTACCTTTGTCAAAACTGTTTGGTTCTTCAATCCCTGGTTCTGCAAAAAAGAAAAAGAAAAAAGGAAAAAAAAACAACCCTTTTTGGTCCTATTCATATTGGACTAATTTGTGTGGGGATATTTCTGGGCGCTCTATTCTGTTTTATTAATCTATGTGTCTATCCCTCTGTGCAAACCAATCTTGATTGCTCTAGCTATACTATAAGCTATATTGTAAGCCACAGTGATTTCTCCAGCTTTATTCTTCATCAGAATTGTTTTAGCTATTTAAGATAAGTTAGGGGCTGGGGAGATGGCTCAGTGGAATAAGCACTTGCCTGGCAAGTGCAGGGATCTGAGTTTAATCCCTGGTTCTGAAAAAAAAATTGCCCTTCCATATAAATTTTGGAATTAGCTTATTCTGTGTCTGCAAAACAACCTTGCTGGAATCGTAAGAGGAAGAGGAATTGTATTAAATCTGTAAATCAATCTGAGGGAAAATTAACATTTTTGCGAAATTGTCTCCTAATACATGAACATGACATATCCTTCTTTCCATTTATTTAAAACTTTCACTTCTCAATCAGCATTTTGGAATTTTCAGCATACAGATCCTGTACATGGTTTTTTTGTTAAAAGTATACTTTAGTATTTCATTTTCGTCAGCATAATTATAATGGCATGTTTTAAATTTCTGCTTCCATGTTCACTGTATATAAAAATGCAATTAATTTTTGTGTTAATCATGTATCTTGTGACCTACTGAACTCAATTAATTTTAGGGGTCCTTCGGTAGGTTCTGTAGAATTTTCTAAATAGAAAATCATGTCTGTGCATGGGGACCATTTTATTTCCTCCTTTCCAATCACATGCCTATTTCTTTTTCCTGCCTTATTGTCCTGACTAAAATATCCAAACTATATTGATTGAAAATAATAAAAGTAGATGTCCTTCCTTTCCAAGGGGAAAACGCATCTTTGATCACTAAATATGTTAGCTGCAAGTTTTTGTAGATGCTTTTTATTGAGTTGAGATGGTAACCCTCTATTCATATTGTGATGAGAGCCTTTTTTTTTTTCTATTTTAGGGAAGGGTCTACAGGATGTTCAGGGTCTCACTACTAGGTCAGACTTGTAGTGTTTACAGCCTCCCAAGAGCTGGGATTATAGGCTGGCTCCACCAGGCCTAGTCTTAATGGCTGTCTCAGCTGCCCCAGGGGGCAGGGCCAGCAGGGCAGGCCCAAGGCTCCTGAGCCTGCTTGTAGGCACTTCAATCCCGTGAGCTATTTGGCCAGCAGGGAAAGCTGTGTGTGTGTGTGTGTGTGTGTGTGTGTGTGTGTGTGTGTGTGTGTGACTGGGGATTGAATTGAGGCCCTTGAGCTTGCCAGGGAAGCGCTTATTCCACTGAGCCATCTCCCCGGCCTCTGGAGAGCTTTTTCTTAAAATCATGAATGAATGCTGAGTTTTGTCAAATGTTTTTCTGTATCAAGTGATGTAATTATATGATTTTACTTGTTTAGTCTGTGGCTATGATAGTTTACATGTATTGAATATTGAGATTTTTGGGGTGTGTTTGTGTGGTACTGGGGATTAAACTCAAGGTCTTCACACTGAGCTACATACTGAGCTATTTTCAGTATTTTATTTTGAAACAGGGTCTTGATAAATCCCTAAGTCGCATAGACAGGCTCGAATTTGTGTTCCTCCTGCCTCAGCTTCCCAGCGTGGTGAGATTACAGCCTGGCTGAATATTGACTTTTCAACCAACCTTGTCTAGCTGGAATAAAGCTTATTCTACCCGTGGTAAAATTATTTTTATGCCTAGTTTGATTCCATATTGCTAATATTTTCTTCCAGATTTTTCGTGTTAAATTTTATGAGAGTTAAAGTATGTAACTTTGGAGTGTTTTGCTGTATTCCTTGTCTGGCTTTGGTATTAGGATAACACTGGCCTCA